TGAAGGGGCGTGTGCAGCCGCTGGAGCTGCAGGGGGGTGGCCGTGCCCGCACCCCCATCCAACCTAGCCTTGGCAGGATGAGGCTCCTGCGGTGGGATGACACACCGTGCTGGGGCTGGCTCTCGCTGGGCTGGCTGAGGGCGTGCAGGCAGGCAGCAGGGAGCCAAAGGTGGGCACAGCCCTGGGTCTGGGAAACAAGGTGAGAAGGAGAGGGCAGCTTACGGCACTGCTGTCCCGGCCTCACCCTGTGGGACCCTGGCTGCAGGTGGGCAGCCAGTGACCATCCCCAGGGGGAGCGGGCTGTCCCCATCCCCGCAGTGGGGACCATGGCCCTGGGCTGCCCCAGCGCCTGCAGAGGACTGTCAGGTGCCCAGCTCCGTGTGGAGTCTGGTGATTTCCAGGAGGAGCTTCTCCTTCTCCAGCAGGATCTTCTCCTGCAGCTGCAGGGTCTCCTTCTGCAGCTCCAGGATCGCTGTCTGCAGCCGGCTCTGCTTCTCCCACCGCTCCCCGGCTGTGCCGACACGGCCCCACAGGCTGGGCTGGGACCCCTCTGGCGCCGAAGGGCTGCCTGAGCGGAGCAGAGAAACGCGTTAGAGCCAGCAGAGCTGCGGGCCGCCTGCTCCTGCCCTTTCTCTCCCACCGCTGCCCCTGCCATTGCTGCGTGGGCCTCCCGGCCCAGCCGCTTCGGGATGCCAGGCTGCTGGGATGGATCGGCGATGCTGAAAGCAGACCCCAGGCCCGCTCCTTGCCAACTGTACCGCAACCTCCCAAAAGCTTAACCCTGCAGGATTTGGCCTTTCCCCCCAGCCTCCTCCATGTGCTGCAGCGGCCGGCGGGAGCAGGGCAGGGCAGGGCACGGCTGCCCCAGTGTGGGAGCTGGAACAGGCAGGAAAAGCAAATGGGCTTTTCTCTTGGAAAAGTGTGGGTTTTGGACAGCTTGTCCACAGCAAAGGAGAAGCTGCTGCCTGGGGAGGGCTGCTGCAGCTCTGCAACCCGCCCGGCCTGGGGACGGGGCTGGGAGCCATGGCGAGGGTCCGGCATGCCCGGCTGGGTGGGCGCTAGGGAGGAGGGCAGAGACCAGCAGCAACGTGGGCACCTCACCGTTCTTCTCCGGGGCCAGGGGGCCAGGGCTGCCCGTCGCCCTGCTCTGTATCGCCGGGCTCGCTGTTGTGCCGAGGCACGGCCACACCAGTGCTGGGCTCAGCGAGCTCTTGATGCGAAAGGGCGCGGGGGGCTCGGGGGAGCTGGCTGGCAGCACCGGGGCTATCCCCACTGCACCATGGCCCTGCGGCGCGGTGAGACGGGGAGCTGCCCCTGGGGGCAAGCATCTCAGCCGTGGGCAGGTTGGGGGCTGCAGGGGCCATGCCAGGAGGTGTCAGTCTCTTTTCCACACTGGCCTGGGTTCCTGCCAGGAGCAAGCTCTCCTTGGAGTCGGGCTCTCTGCCAGCTGCACCAAGGAGGCTCTCCGGCATGGGGTCAGGGACTGGCGGGGTCCCTGCGGGGCAGAGCAGCCCCCGGCCCGGGGTGGCGGTGGTGCTCTGGCTGTGCAGGAGC